TATTTTCACTTACGTCTTTTGAGCTCTGAATATTTGTTAAAATTATTTTTAGGTCAAAATACACAATTTTTCTAGTTATATATCTAGGATACCTTTGTTTATATTCGATGTAAGCTTAGCTGACTTTTGAGTGGTCTTCTCTGAAGACCAAGCTTATTTGGACCTGGGTTTGGCTGCAGTCTCTTTTGGCTGGTTTGAGTTGTTATGACCTCGTTTTCTCAACTTGGTCTGTGCAGCAAACAGACATAGTAAACTGCATCGGATCCTGCTTCCTCTACTATTACAGGCGTGAGGATTTCTAACACCGAGCCGTCACTTAGTACATACTTAGACGTTTAGCCGGCATCCTAGTTGGCATCGTCAGTGAGGGGCATCATCCTTAGCAGAGAGTTACAACTCGTCAAATTGGCAAATAAAGGCGTTCTCATCCAAGGTGGACTGTGGTTTCGACCTCGCCTAGATCTTATCAACACCTTGAATCATGACTGCAGCGTAAATCTCAACCCATTAATCACTATGCCACATTGCCACGGATGCACTTGATGCACAGGGCAGATGCGAATTTTGAGGAGAATCCAATATTTTCCCATATCACATTCTGTGATTGGACTGTCGATTAAGCTATAGCAATAGACAAAAGCTTACTTTTCGTTTTTTATTGGCAGGTTTACGAGATCATATATATATATATATAAGATGTCTTCACTCTATATATATATAATCCAATGGTAGTCTCGAAAACTAAACGAAACATAACTAACGTAGTCGATTGCTATAGCAAATAAAAATTTGTTTCATCGACGATCCAACCAAAGCATTTGATATGAAAAATTCCCGACTACTTGGAATTCAAATCTGCCCTGGGATCCAAGGGCACTCATGCTAATGTGGCGTAGTGGTTAACGTGTCGAGTAATAAGCTGAGCTTCCATGGTTCGAGTTCCGCCTTAGGTATTAATAATACCTATGCGAGGTAGAAACTGCAGTCCACCCTGGATGAGCTACCTTTCGGGCAAGCAAGGCTATGCGAAATTTAATGCAAATGCAAGGTGTACTCATATAATTGTGGAAATTATTCAAGTGACTTATCACCTTAAACGAAATAGGGTCAATAAAGTTCATATTTAAATAAGCTACTGATGGTCTTTAAAACATACTTACAAACTGAACTTAAGTAAAGGCAACATTTCTGACCAGGGTAGATCTGACGCCTCCATTGAATTTCGCATAGCCTTGCCAGGTGTTTTACTCCCGCTAGGGGTGTTGATAAGACCGAGGCGAGGTCCAAGCTACAGTCCACCCTGAATGAGAACAACTTTTGGAAAAACAAGGCTATGTGAAATACAATGGAAGCGTCATCTCTACGCATATTATTGTGGGAAAATGGTACTTCCAGTCCTCCATCATCTTAAACGAATTAGGGTGAATAAATCTCATATAACTGATTTACTGGTAGTCTCGAAACTCTACTCATACGAAAATAAGTATGTAGTTGATTGTTACCACAAAAATACGTTTGCTTCATTGACAATCCCACCATAGAATGTGATATGAGAAAATGTCCGGCCTTCCTTGTAATTCACATCTGCCCTGTTACCCAAAGATACTCGTGGCAATGTGACTGAGTGGTTAACGTGTCAAACTCACATGCTGCACTGTCACGGTTCGACTCTCGCTTAAGGTGTTGATAAGACACAGGCGTAGTCAAAACTGCAGTCCATCCTGGATGAGAACGACTTTTGTGAATCAAGACTAAGTGAAATTCAATGGAAACGTGAGTTTTTATCATATAATTGTGGGAAAATTCTACTACCATTCTTTCATCACCTTAAACGAAATAGGGTAAATATATCTCATAAAAAACATTTTGTAACTTGGTCATATTGTCAGGGTGACCTAGTTGGGCGAACCTTATCTTAATTTCTTGTGTTGGACTGTGAACTTGCTACATTCTCAGACATTTCTCTAACATCGTTTGTAGGTCTTGCCATTCTCAACACCAAGTTACAACTCTGTATAGAAAAAGTTGTAGCCTTGCGCTGAAAATGGCGACACTTGTTAGCGATGCCGGCAAAACGGCTGGGAATGTACCAAGTCCACGATCCAACACTGGAAATTATGACAATGGACTTCGAATAAGGTGTGTCCCGCTAGATAAAGCTGACGGCACTATTAAGTTTTGAAAGCGAGATCAGACTTCTATAGATCTAAAGAAGATTTCTACAAAAATGGAGACCACATCATGATCTTCAAATTTACTGTTAAAAGAACTTTCATTTAATTTGATACAATTGTCCACTAATTCTGTGAAATCTTCCTAACCTTGGCGAATTTCATACGTTAATAAATTCATATTTCCGATACTTTCATTTTACCAAACGATTAACTTTTCGTAGTTAGTAATATTTTCTAGAGGTTGTCTGACCTTGTTTTCGCAACATGGTCATATTGGTAGGAAGACTTAGAGGAACGCACCTAGAACGGAGTCCATTGTCTGCATGATCATTTCCAAAGTTGGA